CACAACCTCACACTTTTTTTGACAACATCACTAATGGCATGGTCACTGGTGCTACATCCAACTTACAGCTCAATTTGGCACCCTCATACTTACATTTGTTCAATTAGACAAAGAAAAACCCATAAACACAATGCTCTGATGATGTAGGTGAAATAGAAGATGTTAGCAGACACTGGATAAGGGAGTGCCTGAAAGAAGTTTTCCAAAGTGGATTAGATGAGTGGGTTCAAAGTTGGTATAAATGCATCACCATTAATGCATTAGTGGAGACCATTTTGAATAGTACCACACTGTAGACAAAGAGTTACTTTGTACATATATGTATCTGTATAGATCTCAGGTTGATAATAAGAAAGTTGTGAGTTGTCAGACATTACTTTCAGTTTGACATTTGTACTTTAATACAATTGTTTGCTCAGGTAGATAACAAAAAGTATGAATCAATTCCACTAAATATTTCCCAAGGCTGAAAACCCTACCTGCTAAATTCAGATAGCCAAGGGTTATCAGACACAGACATGTTTATTATCATTTAGTATATATCTAGGGTTGCCAGGCATTACTGGATTTCACCAGATGTCTAGGTGGGAAGATGGATCTCAAGATGTGCAGAACAGGAGAAGCATGTCTGTATTTCCAGTGTGAGGTGACCTTTAAGGCTAGACAGCTGTCTCCCACCCATTTCTAGCTACTTGTATGTGTGCTACTCATATGAAACATCCGTGCATCAAAAAGACAGGAGTAAGGGGAGGGGGCTAAGGAGAGCAACAGTGGGTACCTGTGCTTGGACTCATTGTGTCATTTAGAGTAAAACATAATGGAGCACCAGTATTACAGATCATCACCCTCACAACCAATTCCACATTGAACTGGCTGATTCAAAACCTTTTACAATGCCCTTCCTTCTTTTCTTTCTTTTCTTTCTTTTCTTTTTACAATGCCCTTCCTTCCTTGAAATGCTTATGCCTCCCCACCCCCACCCCCCAAAATCAAAAAGACTCCCAGAGTGAGTTACAAATCAGTAATTCAACAGTTGCTGCTCCAGACTTCCATTTTAAAACAACACATGGCATATAAGGGGGAAAGGAAGTTGAGGAGAAGAAAATTAAATTCATTGCTTAGATTGATATGATTGAAAAAGCTTGCTGAAATAGCTCCTGGTAGTCTATAGCTGAGAAAGGGAAATGAGGTAATGTCTTCTGTTGCTGTTTCCTCTTTTTTCACAGCTGTACTCTGTCTGAGAAGTCAGACAGTAAAACACCTTTCCATACTGATATGCAAGCAAGTACTGGACTTTATGTATTCTGTAATGTGATGCCTCTTCACCCTATCACCCATCAATTGCTTAACTCAGATGTGGAGAAAAGCTCTAGGGGGTGTACATCTTTGCTCATTTAATTCTTGCAACATTTCTATGTGTATTTGTACTTCAAGACTTTTCTTGAACAATTTATTTATGCAGTAATACACAATGGTTTCCATGTAGAAAACATGAGAGGAGAGGAAACATTACATTTTGCAAAAAAAAAATTCCCTTTCTTGGCTTGGAAATATTGAGTCCTGGGCAAGGAAAAAGACAGGACATGAAATTTATAGATAATTGATAAATAGATTTATAGATACATAAAGAGTGAGAAATTTTCTTAATATGTTTATTTCTTTGTATTTGAACCTCTTCTGAAAACACTATGTTAACTTTTCATGGAAGTTATCTAAAAAGCAAGATATTTCATTAATATCTATCCATGCTTTGTTGTTGTTCATTCGTTCAGTCGTCTCCGACTCTTCGTGACCTCATGGACCAGCCCATGCCAGAGCTCCCTGTCGGCTGTCACCACCCCCAGCTCCTTCAAGGTCAGTCCAGTCACTTCAAGGATGCCATCCATCCATCTTGCCCTTGGTCGGCCCCTCTTCCTTTTACCTTCTACTTTCCCCAGCATAATTGTCTTCTCCAGGCTTTGCTGTCTCCTCATGATGTGGCCAAAGTACTTCAACTTTGTCTCTAGTATCCTTCCCTCCAGTGAGCAGCCGGACTTTATTTCTTGGAGGATGGACTGGTTGGATCTTCTTGCAGTCCAAGGCACTATCCATGCTTATCCATAGTTCTATCCATGCTTATTCGTAGGAACACATTAGGTAACCTTGGGCAAAGAAAAACCCTTACAATACAATTTTTGTCTAGAAAACCCCATTAGTTGTAAATGAGATAAAGGCACAGGACAAAAACATTTCTCCATAACCAGGGGGAAAGACTTTTATGGGACTGCAAAGTTTAATAAATGTTTTATAGAATGACATGAAGCTGCCTTGTGCTTAGTCAACTCAGTGGTCCATCTAGTCAGATTTTTTCTCTCTGGTTCTACAGCATCTCTGTGAAGATTCAGGTGGGGTCTTTCCAGCTCTAATGGCATCCTCCTTAAAGAAAATATTGGGAGCAATCACAGAGAACTGCTTGCATACAGGGTGTGCATTATATCTCTAAATTACAGGCAATCCTTGTAACTGATGAAATAGCTTCTGACTTCTAAAAGCACTTGCCACAATATATTTGTTAGAAGTAGTGAGGGAGATCAAGCTAAGATTTTGCCCAGTCAGGTGTGAGGCAGGTCTTGCAAGTCAAAATCAATCTGATACATCTGACCCAGTGTATATGTGGTTCTGCCTTCAAGTTGCCTTTCATGGGGTTTCCTTAGATAAGAAATATTCTGAAATGGTCTTTCCAGCTCCTTCTTTTGAAAAACAGTCTACAGTACCTCATATTCATTGCTGGCCATCCATCCAAGTGCTAATTTTACCTGTGTTAAATATTTTTAATGTTTAAATTATTTTTGTACTGTTGTGGGCATCGAATTGTGCCCTTTTGTAAACCGCCATGAGTCGCCCTCGGGCTGAGAATGGCGGTATAGAAGCATAGTAAATAAATATAAATAAATAATCAGAGCTGAACCATGATCAGATGAGATCTGGTGCCTTTTGGGTATTAAAGCCAGCTATCTGACTTGATAAACGGGACAATCTGAGAAGCATACTCTTTTTTTTTAGTCTAACCCCCAGAACAATAAGAGAATTCTGTGGGTTGTAGTTTAAAAAGTAACTTTCCTGAGCAATTCCTCAGGAGTGCTCAAAGCTTCTTGCATATACACACAAATCAAGCCTGTGTATGGCATTTACACAGTGGAATGAATAAAGTCTGCCATGAGTAAGAAACTCTGCATTGTTCATCTTCATTTCTATAGCTTTGTCTCAGGCAGAATTGTCAGAGCTGGCCCCAAATAACTCTTTTGTTTTGAAGCTTGTCAACACTGAGCTCTTCTTTTCAACACAACCATCTGGATTCATTGGCACTTCCACTGGCAATCATGTTGTTGGCTTGGGGGCTGCCTTTGGGACTCCCAGGTGGCTAGGATGGCTTGTCAGCTCAAGTTCTGTTTATCATGTATCAAGTCTGGCTTTTAGAAGGTTATGAAAATCTGCATGTTTGGAGGAGATACATTTCAGCCATTTCATTTGCCAGATGGAAGGGAAAGTCTAAGTAATACCCACTCCCAGATTTCTATTAATGTTAACGATGATCTTCGTGCCAGTCATTTCCCCAAACTCTCTGTACCTTGATCCCAATCTTGTCCTCAGATATCTATTTCTTCTTTCCTTCTTTCCCACATAAATGCATTGCATTATATATTTATTTCAGTTCAATATAGCCCCATATTCCTGGACTTACTTTTGATAGCAAAAATCACAAACAATAATGAATCTTATTGAACAAATAACTTCTGATGGAAGCATACCATAGAGGATCTAGGAAATGACTGGAAAAGACATATTATGCCAGGTTCAAGCAAATAAAACTCTCAAGGACTATTCCAAAGTGTTATAGAGTATAAAAAAATATTCAGAGGAGTGTTTAAGTATGCAGAATTACCTTGTTCATGCCCAGCACTTTTTTATTTTAAATTTGAATTATTACATTTGGCCCAGCCATAGGTTTTTAAATGCTGTATGTTTGATATTGTTTTTGTATTAATTATTGTTATTGCTTTTGTCTATTGATGTATTGTGGGCTTGGCCTCATGTAAGCCGCACCAAGTCCCTTGGGGAGATGGTAGCGGGGTACAAATAAAGTTTTTTATTATTATTATTATTATTATTATTATTATTATTATTATTATTAATTACCTGTATTCCAGTCAAACGCCCTGAGATAGGAAACATAACACAGAATAAAATTCAAGTCATATAAAAGTTTTTCATATTGTGAAAAATGACTTGATTTGAATTATATATGACGTATGCTAGTGTCTTCCCAATGGATGTAATTTCTGTTTTGCTCAAATGGGGACAACCATTTTACATTGCTATTCTTTTACAGTATCGTGCTTTGACAGTAAGAGGGGGAAAGCAAAATAAAGAAAATTAAATGATTGGGATAACAATATTTAATAGACTTGCCAGTGCATTTTTGTCTCAGTTGTTTTGTTTATAATTTTGTTTTAGTTTTTTAGAAAAAATATTACAACAAGTGGTTGAAATATAGAAGCATTTTGGATCGTAGCGTATGTTGTAGATCTAGTTCTGAATGTATTCTCCATGATACAAATGGCCTCTAGGAGAGCTGCTTTTAATATAGTTGGGAAACAATTCATTGGCACCGCACAATCAAGTTACATCTAAGACTACTCCATGTGCATCAAATTTAGGGGGCACATATATTCCTATTAGATGCAGATTTCATTTTCACCAGGATGTTTACTGGTGAAAGTATGCAGGCCCTGCCCCATCAGCCATGCATTGCTTGGTGTTTGCAGTCTCAAGAGTCAATATAGCTTACAATATTGCTTGGGAAGACAGGCGGACAAATGTCAGCGTGCTGGAAGAAGCAAAAACCACCAGCCTTGAAGCAATGCGCCTATGCCATCAATTCCACTAGACTGGCCACATTGTCCAAATGCCCGATCACCGTTTCCCAAAGCAGTCACTATACCCTCTGTAATGATTCATACCTTTGGTAGGCCGCAGCCTAGAAGTCAGTAAGCCGGCCTCTATGTTGATAAGGCAGCTCAGTGTAGCAGACATCTTAGGAGAGGCAGCTAAGCAGAGGGGAGGAGCCCAGCTATCTCCTGATTGGTTAAAACCTGGTGGGAGGAGCTGGAGCAGAGAGTGTAAAAAGGCTGTCAGTACTGACACAAAGGAAGAAGGGTTTCTGACAGAGAGAGAAGGGTTTGTGACAGAGAAGAGAGAAGAGTTTTGACACAGAGGAAGAAGGGTTTCTGACAGTGAAGAGACAGAGAAGTTCAGACAGAGAAGAAGAAGGATTTCTGACAGGGAGAAGAGGGTAGATTTTCTTAGTGAGCTAATAGTTTGCCTGTTAGAGAATAGTTTAAGGCAGGTGCTTCTACAGAGTTTGACTAGGAGAGTCAAAGTGAAGACCTGTGTTCTTGTGTTGAGTTAGGACACAAGTTGTTTTATTCTCTTAGGAACAGAGTAGTCTAGGGAAACTTAGATACTTTGGGAGACAGCCAAGAGAGGCTTGTCAAAGAGACTCACTGCTACAAGGTATAGAGTAGAGTGAGGGAAATAGCTCATGTTAAAGAAAGGAAACTCAGTTTAAAGAAACAATTTCTTAAGAAGATTGTGCTTCAGTAACAAAATACGCTTGTGTACCTCATAGAAGTCAGTTGTATGTTTCAAAGATCTTAATAAACTTATTCTCTAATTCACTGTTAAACTGCCTCAGCCCTAATTCATCATATAAGATAAGTTCCAGTAATCTCCCAACATCTTTACAATTCAGTCACTTGAAAGGAGCCAGATAGAAGGAGCTGGTGTATAAGAAGATTTACCTCAAGAATAACATCAAAACAATTTCTCAAATTAAAGTTTGAGTGGTGGCAGCAACCCTACCATTGCACACTCACATTTCCGCAACACACAATGAAGTGCTTCGTGACAGGATTGTGTTAGTGTTCAGCCAGAACCTAAATAAGTAAAATCCTGTACCCTGATCTTTCAAAGTGGTGGTCAGCTGTGAGATGTATAACAGCTGAAGGAACGTGTGTGGATGTGTGTATGTCTGAGGGGATCTGTTAGAGAAATATTAGTTCAGGATCCTCTTAAGATTTATAGTGACCGTGTGTGGGCATATTCTTATCAAATTGGTGGCAGCAGGATAGAAATATTAGTCCCAGATCATCCTTATTCTTTTATACCCACCAACTCAAGAACAGGAAACATAATGTTGGTGGACAGGAAAAGAGATTTAAAGATGGGCTTAAAGCCAACCTTAAAAACTGTGGCATAGACACTGAGAACTGGGAAGCCCTGGCCCTTGAGCACTCTACCTGGTGGTCAGCTGTGACAGCAGTGCTGCAGAATTCAAAGAGGCATGAATGGAGGGCAAAAGGGAGAAACGAGCCAAGAGGAAGGCGTGTCAAGCCAACCCTGACCAGGACTGCCTTCCATCTGGAAACCAATGTCCTCACTGCCAGAGAACATGCAGATTAAGAATAGAGCTCCACAGCCACCTACGGACCCACTGCCAAGACATTACACTTGGAGGACCATCATCCTTGGGCTATGAGGGATCGCCTAACAACAACATAACTTACAAACCATCACACTGTTGCTTGCTTTCTTGCTTTTTGGTAGGCATGTTAGCCATATGAAATATGCTCTTTATTTTGGCTTTAGTATCTGTACTGAAAATTTCCTTCATATGTCCTTTGTGATTTTTATAATTAAGCTCAGGAGGTGCCTATGAGAGAAACATCTTTCAACAATGTGTGAGTGAAACACTAGTACTACTCTCAAATACAAAAGTGGAGTAATTATTTCAACAGGTCCCTCATTTAAGATCAACATTTGCCCATCACGAGGGAGTGTCTGATCTCTTCCTCTGAAAGGTTAGAATTACATTAATTTGAAGCATGCAGTTGCATAATTCATTTACCCAGCAAGAAAACAGTGTTTGTGGAACAAGCCTGATCAAAGCTGGAGGTGCCAAAAATGACTTCTGGAACCTGGTCCTGAATTTTCCCAGGGATTAGGCCATTTTTGTATAATGAAAAGTTTTTCTAAAAACACTCAGAGAGAGGTTTACTTCCCTTTATAACATTCTTTTGGTACAAAGTTTATTTTCTTTTCAATCAAAAATATTTTTATTTCATGTCATTTAAGGCATTCATCTACCTCCCTTCACAATATCTGCCCCAGAGGAGTTTTCCAAAAGAAACAAACAGAAATCCTATACAATCAGGGAATGACTAACAGTGCAATTAAAACTAATAAGCAAACATCAATTAAATATCCATTAAAAACAGCGGAGCTCTAAACACAGCAGCATGCTAGCATTTAAAACTCAAGCCATCAAAATGCCTGAGAGAATAAAAATGTCTTCAACTAATGCCTTCAAAAAACCCACACAGATGGTCCTCCATGTAAGCCAATTTTCTTCATCATGCAGGAAAAGAAGCCTTCTCCTTTTACTCCCACCTGTATGGTCCCTGATGTTGATGGTGGCATTTTGAGAAAAGCATCGGCATTAAATATCTGGGTTTGGGAAGGTTGAATAAGGTGGTCCTAGATAGACTCAGCACCTTAGATAGCTCCTTTAATGCTCAGACTCAAAAGTCGAGCAGATCCACTGCCTTACTGATGGCAGAACGAACAGCCACAACTTTAGTATCAGGTTCAACTGAATTAAAATCTATGGCATCTCCCCTCCCCATGCTTTTCAAATGTTCTTTCTTTCTTTCTTTCTTTCTTTCTTTCTTTCTTTCTTTCTTTCTTTCTTTCTTTCTTTCTTTCTTTCTTTTCTCCTTTATCTAAATGTTTTTTTCCTGGCTGAACTCCAGCCCACATCTAAACTCTTTGCATGTTATTCTGAACCCTGGGTGACACTGATGCACTCATGACTAGCCAAGAAGACACTGCCATCCAAAGACTTTGGCATGAGTTTTAGTGGTGAGTTATCTCATGAACTCTCAAGAAGAATTTTGAAAATTGATATACATGGAAAGATTTTTTGTCTTAAAAGACAAGATGTTTTAGTTTGATATGAAGGAGAAGTTTAAGAATTTTATAAATTTAGTTCTTGTGGTTGGAAAATTGACTTTTATGTATTTTTTTTTGTCAAGGGGTAGTAACATAAATTAGTAATTAGTGTTGAATTTCATTTTTATTCTTGGCACTACATTACAGTATTTTTTTGTCTTTGTATATTTATAACAGTCAAAGGTAAAGGTTTACCCTTGACATTAAGTCTAGTCATATCTGACTCTGGGAAGTGGTGCTCATCTCCATTTCTAAGCCGAAGAGCTGACATTGTCCACAGACACTTCCAAGGTCATGTGGCCAGCATGACTACACATTAACTTCTCGCAGATGTGGCACCTATTGATCTACTCACATTTGCATGTTTTCAAACTGCTAGGTTGGCAGAAGCTGGTCCTAACAGCAGAAGCTCACCCCGCTCCCCGGATTCGAACCACCAACCTTTCCGTCAGCAAGTTCAGCAGCTCAGTGGTTTAACCCGTTGCACCACCAGGGGGTCCTTCTATATATTAGTAGGTAAAATATTTCTACCCCAAACTGGGTCATCGTAGATCCGCTCTTAACTCTTTATCCAAACACAAGTTAGAATTCCTGGGAAGGCTTTCGGGGAAGACTTTTACCTTCAGAAGGAACTGCCTATTCCTAATATGGATAGTGATACAAACCTCAGAATCTTGTGTGACATCACACCCCCACCCCCACCCCCAAGTCTGTGAGGCACATGATGTTCTTACAAAAAAAATGTAGATCTGCCAAATGCAAGGACTGGACCCATGATATATAGACACATCTCACTAATATCATAGTTGCCTCTGAATATTATTCAATTCTTTGCTGAATATAGGAGATTGGTGCATATCTTATACCTTAACGTCTTTCTTAAGACTGTAAATTCTGTTTTGTAGCAAAAGATAGCAGAGTATTTTTATTTATATGTGTGTGGCTTTCAAGTCATTTCTGAAATATGGGGACTCCAAGGCAAGCCTATAATGGGTTTTTCATGACAGAATTTGCCACTGCCTTCCTCTGAGACTCTGAGAATGTGACTTGTCTAAGGCCACCTAGTAAGTTTCCATGGCCGAGTGGGGGATTTGAACCTTGATTTTCCAATTCTTAGTCCAAGATTCAAGCCACTGCACTATACCAGCACATGATATTTATACCCATGCACAAGAGAGAGGGTCAGCACACTCAAGGGCTCATAAAGGTTTGCAAAAAGTGTCTGTGTGCGTGTGTTTGTGTGTAAAAGGGGGATAAATCTTTTCTAAACAACCCAAGTAAGATATATTCAATGACAATCTGGGTGGCCATGGGTTATCAGCTCTTTTCCCCCCTTTCTCAACAGAAATCTGGATCGCAATGGAATTTGAATGGAATATCCTGAACTGCAACATAAGTTGATGCCAGTCCCAGTACGCATTTTTAATCTGACTGCTTACATCTTATTCTCACACATTCCCGCATTTGTTAACCTTGTGGGAACATTAGCATGAATTCTGAAGTTACTCCCTGACAGGATGAGCAGCTGCTAGCTCTGTGAACTGTCTGGAAAATGGCATTACGGGTCCTTTATTATTGTCCTTAAAAGTGTTTATCTCTTCTTTCCTTTTTGTATAGCTTTTCCTTCATATCCCCATAAATTGCAACTAATGCAACACAGACATGTCAGATTAATATTTTTTTCTCATGACTATTTTAGAAACTGATGTCTACTGTCTACATTTCCCTAGGCTCGAGCCCATTCCTATCCCCAACTACAGTAGAGTCATTAAATCCATTGTTGATGTGTAAGTTACTGCTTGATTCAATGGGTTACTCTAACTGAGACTAGCATTTGGATTTAAGTCTTTGCTCCCTCTTATGGAGTTGCCCTTCTATAAGCATTAGCAAATGGTGTCACAAAGTGGTCTCAGGTTTTGCACCCTCATTTTGGAAAGAAGCTTTAGAATCTCATATTTTATTTGACTACCACATGAAATGCTAGTTCTGAGCTTTTGCTGAGCTTCTGGGGATTAGTTTGAGCTGCAATAAGAACCTTAAAGCAAAGTATATTTTGTACTTGAAGTAAAA